ACCTTTCACAATCAGCTGACCTACGCTCATCAGATTTCTTATAATACCAGGAACATACCAAACGTCTTTGATCAGAATGTCTTTCCCATTCTTCACTCTAATTCTGACATCTCCCATACCTTCTGCATTAAGATAATTATCGTCAGCACATCTGATCTTTGTACTCCTTCTGGAGTCAAAGTCTGTCAGCCATTGTTTGTTTCTAGTTAAATAATTTGAGCAGCCAGTGTCCATATACCACCAATCTTCTGAGCATTTTCCATCAGAGTCAGAAGCCATTAGAAGTACAGGTTCATCATCAGAGTTTCTCTTAGCCATATATGCTTCTTCTGATTTCCTATCCTTGTTTGACCTACAATCTCTGACAAAATGGCCAAATTGTTTACAAGAGTAACATTGAACCTTCCTTTTGCCATACCTCTCCTTTCCTTTATGATACTTCTTATCATTAGAAGTTGAGGCTTCTGACTTCTGGAATCTATCACCACGTCTATTCTGCTTCTGGTCTTTCTTGACAAAAGAAGCCTTCAGAGCTTGCTCAGCTTCTCTCTCAGAAGTTCTCTCAGACAAACGTAACTCCTGTGCTTCTAAGCTGCTTTACAAATCTTCTATTCTCATGGTTTCCAGATTTTTAGAATGTTCAATAGAAACAACAATGTAATCAAACTGGGGAGTAAGCGGCCTCAAAATTTTCTCTATGATTACCTGTTCAGTCAGAGTTTCTCCACACGCCTTCATCTCGTTAGTGATCAGAATCACTCTGGAGATATATTCAGAAACTTTCTCACTGCTCTTCATGTTCAGGTTCTCATATTGCTTTCGTAGGGATTGAAGCTTCACCTTCTTTACTGATGTGTCACCACCGTAACATCTCGCCAGTAAATCCCACGCCCCTTTAGATATTGTTGAATCAGAAATTTTCTCGAACACACTTTCATCCACACACTGATGGATATAGAACAGAGCTTTCTGGTCCCTCTTTCTCATCATCCTCTCAGCAGTTCTCTGTTCTTCAGTTACATCTGCTGCAGCTGGTACATAACCATCTGTAACCAGATCCAGAACATCTTGTGCATCAAACGGTACACACATTTGTATCATCCATCTGTTCCAGTTTTTGCCATTAAAAACTGGAAGTTTAGTGTTCAAACTACCGTCTCCACTCATTTTAAACCTTGCACGGATTTTTCAGATCTTAAAACACACTGTTTCCCAACCCACAGAATCAAATTCTGTTCAGATTTTGTTCAAGATTTCAACAGAAAATCAATGAACCAAAATCAAACACACAGCTCACAAACACTCGTGTTTCCCAGAAAAAACAGAATAAAAAACTCTAGATACCAATTTGTTGGTGCAAGGTAATGAAAGGAGAGAAGAAGAATGAACAATGAATGATAACAAAAAGGACTACTTCATAATATTCAAATAGAGAAATGAATTGAGTTACAATATTAATAGCCTAGGTAGCATATTTATACTAAAATCAAAAATGCCAAAAGGCCCTAATAAAGAATAAGCATTGGAAATTGTAGTCATTAACTAAATTACATTTCCAATAATTTTTTTGTAATATGTAATAAATACAATTACACACATTAATTATTTTTCTCTTCTAAAAATAAACTTATAAAATTATATAAAAATAATCAATAAATTTATTATTCTAATAAATTATTTTAATTCCCACCATTTATTCAACGAATTCTTATATTTAAGAATAGAAAAAAAGATTATTGAAAATGTGAATGGTTAAAGTAGAGACTAAGTGCCTACTTTCGTCTCAACCTCCATCCCACACTAACTATAATTTGTTGATAGCATGTCTACCTCCATTCCTTTGCTGAGTTGTAGTTGAGGACCACTTCCATCTAATTATCACATTTTAACCTTACAAATTTTCTAGGGAAATAATATGTAGATGGATCAGGACCACAATGATAAAATGTCACATTAGTATGTTTCAAAATAAAATTGCATGGCCTACTATCATGACATTGGTGGACGCTAAGTTGGACTACATATATGTTTTGATCTTATCATTTGGTACCAACCAACTTTAGGTTACAAAGTCACTAATATAATTTCACACACTCATCATCTCATTACAATTAAAATTTAACCGTTAAAAAATGTTTAGTTTCACATGACAAATAAAATATATAGTTTAATAAAATAAGAAGTAATTTACTTTTTTAATTTTTTATTTATAGTGTGATTCTTTATTACTCTTTGAAATCAATATATATATATATATATATATATATATATATATATATATATATATATATATATATATATATATATATATATATATATATATATATATATATATATATATATATATATATATATATATATATATATATATATATATATATATATATATATATATATATATATATATATATATATATATATATATATATATATATATATATATATATATATATATAACCGACTAAAAATCATCTAACAATGAAGTCGCCACCGAACTTCTTTTATCCCACATGAAAGGAAAGATAAACATTGAATAAATTTGAGAAAGGAGAAGTCATGGTCTTACGACCAAGAGATATGGATAAGGGAGTATGTTACGCAATGGGAAGATATTAGCACCCCACACGTCCGTAGTACTCTACGGTATCTACTCATGTAGTTCTAATCAAATGGTGTGTTCAAATCTAAGCTTAAAAGCTAAAAGAAAATGCAAAGAGGAAATACATGCAAAAGAAAAGAGAAAATAATGTAGGAAAAATAAAGTTGTGCTCGCTTGGGTCTTACCCTAATGACTACGTATCCTTTTTGAGGAATCGAAATTACCGTAGTTCCACTCACATGTTTTGATTTATTTTGTGTTTTTTAATGAACAATATTAATTTCTCCTTCTACCGCAACTCGACCTTTGGAGACCCACGCGTCAACAATGAAGTGAATTAACATGTTCTTTTGAAAAGTTTGAAAGAAGAGAAAAGGAGCGCGAAGGAGAAAAAGTGTTTGCATTGGTTGATAATTTTTTTTCCTTGAAGAAGGAGTTGAAAATTGTTAGATGTTTTATGATTTGCCAAGAAAAAGAGTTTTTGTCTTAATGCAAGGATGCAAAAGAAAAGAAAAACATCTAAGGGAAACTAGCTAGAATCTAATCCCTAACGTTATCACACAATGATTGATCCTAAGGTTAAGGATAAAAGGGAAGTCTCTATCTATGTTAGCATGCATGGATTACAACCCTAATGTCTATCTCGAATCATCACCAAAGGATGAATCGAGAAGTCCTAAAGGAGCATAGCAAAGGTTCACAACCTAAACCTATGTCTATCTCGAATCACCACCAAAGGGTGAATCAAGAGCTCCTATGGAAACATGCCAAAGGTTCACAACCTAAGAAAACATGTACACAAGGATAGAAAGGAAGTGATCAACAAGCTCAAGAGAACACACACACGCCACAATTAGTGCATACTAACTCGGGTAAAGGCCTAACCAAGATATAACTGATCGAGGTAGGTACAAAATACAGTAAGGATGCTTTAGCCAAGAGGTCATATCAACCGAGGCAAATAAGCGGGAAGGGGATAGGAAAAACACAAAGAAAAATGTGATGTCCAAGGCGACTAAACCCCTAACCATGATATAGAAAATCTAGGTATGAGATATAAGACAATATGAAAAATCACGGAGTGTCATCATCGGCCAATGCAAACTCCTGACAAAATGTGGGGGTTTGATTGTGAAATCCTTTTCCACTTGACAACTCGATAATAAGAGTAGGCACGACTCCAAAGCATCGGCGTACAACGCGAGCTAAGGATGGCACAGACTAGAAATAACGGGGTTGACTGTTAACCCTTTTCGCTCGCCTCCTTTTGAGGACTTCAATGGGGAATGGGAATGGATCGCCTCTTTTGAGGTCATTAGCACAAATGTAAACACACTGCAAAATACCTACACAAAGGTAGGGTTTTAAATAAACCACAAACACAAGTAGCACACAAATGCACATAAATGCATAATTGCCTTAAATAGTTCTTTAAATAAACCAGAGTGGCTCCTGACATGATCAACAACGGAAACCCCTATCATACATCTCTATTCATAGTTCTCATGGCATCAGAAAGCAGTAAAATTCCTACTTCTCATGATATCTAGACACGTGGTAAAATACGGAATGATAAACTAGAATCTGAATGATACAAAAGGAACAAGAGTTCATAGCACAGCTAGTAAAGCGGAGAAACCCAGAAAACTTTGAGTAAGCTTCACCAAGCAATAGAGAAGAGTCAGAAATCATATACTCAGAATAAGTGTCAAAACATCATCAATGTGAACATAAATCACAAGCGGAAGGTGCGCCAAACATATCCGAATATCACACAATAAACCTGTATAAGACTCAAATCTTGGCAAGCAAAAGTAAATCACGAAACCTTGGCAAAAAAATGATTACTAAACATAATTGATAATAGAAAATTCTAATCAAAATTCTAAAAAAAGAAATCTTAGAAAATTCTATTATATTATATTACTTTTATTGTTTTTTCTATTATTTCAACATTTTTGTTAACAAAATTCAAGAAAAAAGAATTTTTAGAAAAAAAATCTAAAATCAATCATAAATAGAGGAAGGGTTTGTGAGTGAATCAGATAGTGTATGAAGCAGGGCGCTGAGGCTTTTTATTTCAATTCCTCCAGGCTTCATAAAAATACATCATGATGGGCTTAGAGGACTATTTGCACAGATGGCCATGGGATAACATGTTCAGTCCATCAGTTTCTTATCATCACATTTTTGTTATTGTTAAAAGAAGAAAAATAAACAATTAAAATAAATAAATAATAAATAACGGTGCAAATTGATCTTAGGGTTAAATTGGGTGCCTCTTCATCTTCTTCAAACGCGATAAAACGCTCTCAACATACACAACGACACCCTTTCTCTCTTTTTCTGATCAAAACACCACGGTGTGGCTATCATCTCCGCTTCAGTCGCAGATTCTTCGATGATTCTTCTTCTAATCGTCGATTTCCGCCGTCACAAATTCTCCGTCCCTTACTCCATCTCGCTTCACAAACTCCGCCGTCCTTCAATATTCACCGCCATCTCACTCAAGCTTCAGTTAATTTTTGCAGCACACTCGTAATATGAAGATGTATTGGTTTTGGTACAGGTTAAATGTGAAGATTTTGGCTTATTGGCAAAGCATGATTTCATGGCCAAAGGATAGATGAAAATGAAACTTTGCAGATTAGGATAGGCTTAGAATTTGGTTTTCAATCTCTTTTGTGTTTGTATGGGGCTTGAATGAAACTTATGGATTCCATGTATATTTCTTATGAATAGCTTATAAATCGAACCATGTTTCTCATAAAATTTCCAGAATTTCCTTTTATACATGCTTCAAATTGTAACCTTGAAATATATCGTGGATGATATTGTTTGCTTGCCACTTTGAATGAACCTTGATAGAAATTGACGACCCATTGTGATTTATCATGATGATGAATGACATAAGTTAGAACTTGAACGATGGATGTGGTGTGATAATGTAATGGCATTGAAGGTGGTAACTTGAAGAATTTTTGTTGAAAATTTTGAATGGAGTTTGTGTGATGAATACAGATACATCAAGTGAGTTTGAAACTTGAGCTAAGCCTTTGTATTGTAATTCTATTACTTTTAAATGAACAAATCTTTCAAACTTAGAATATCAATCTGAATTGTCAGATTTATATCTTGTATACCATATGAATGGATTTTCAACATTAACCTTGAGTCAAACCCGAACATGTCTTGCAATTAGAACTTGTGACCTATCCTTGAACCTTTAGCTTCAAATTCTTAAGATTCAAAGTTATCTCGTCGTTTAAATAACAAAATTTGTCTTAATCAAAATGAATCCACCAAATCACCTTTGTACTGTAGCTCACACTTTGTACCTCAACCAAATAGAATCTTGATAAACAAAAGCAACACATCTTTGAGAAAATTCTTTGATGAAGCTCAACCTTAATCCAGTGAGTCTCAATTGATTAAACAGTTACACACAATGAATGTGAAACCAATGAATAACCAAAGCCTAATTCCATGATCTTTGAAGAAGAAACCTTAATTTGAGCACCATAGCCGCGAAACCATAACTTTGATTACACATAGGTAAGTAAACCCTAATCATGATCTAGTAGAATATCGAGAGGAAGTCTACAATGTTAGGGAAATAAACCCTAAATCGTGATTCTCGAATCTCAGTTGAAATCGATCTTCGAGGTGTATAACCCTTTAAACCATGTGAAGCCCTAAGTCGCATAACCACGGAACTTCGAACCTCATGGTACTTTATTGAAATGCAAATGTATGCTATGTTAGTGACCTAATGAAATGTATGCAGATGAATGGAAAATCCTAAGCCAGATAAAATTACAATTAGGAGGGAAAATTTTTAGGGTGCAACAGTAATTTCTGGCGAACTCGATTCTTGGTAGATAACGACTCTCAAACGACTACGTGTACAGTGAAGATTATTGAAGAAAAACAATGAGACCCTTTGGTGATGGTATAAAGTCCTAAACTTAGGGTTAGGGACTACGACGAAGAGGATTAGGGTTAAAGTTTTTGATAATTTCTTGATTTGGGGATGGGACGTGGCCGGCCGAATAAAAAGGCAGTGATGACTCCACCGGAGAGTGTTAGTGTTGGGTGAAAGTGTGAGTGGTTAAAGTTCCACATTGCCTATTAATGGGTGGAATGTTGGATTTATAAGAGAGATGACCCATTTACCTAACACCTTAAGGTTTTGGGTTGAGATGTGGTGTCTCCCTCTCTTGTGGTCCTGGAGCATTAGTCTCATTGGTGCTCCCGACTTTCCCGGGCTCCCCAACATTGGTATCAGAGTCGTGGTTCGGTTTGGTAGGGGAGCGAAAGCTGGATCCGGTGTTGGATCCTGTTATAAGATGTGGGGACTCACACCTGTGATGGAGATTGTTGGGTGCAAGTGTGAGTGGTTAAAGTCTCACATTGCCTATGAATGGGTGGAATATTGTATTTATAAGAGAGAGAACTCATTTACCTAACACCTTAAGATTTTTGATTGATATGTGGTGTCTCCCTCTCTTGTTCTTCTGGATCATTAGTCGCATTGGTGCTCTCGACTCTCTCGGACTCCCCAATAATTAGAGTGTTCTCGCCAACTCCGAATTCAGGTGGAAATGGGCACACAAGAAATAAATATAATAATGGTACAACCGAGAATAACCATGGGAAAGAGACTCAAACCTTGGAGACGATTACTGAGGAAATGTTGGAAGGAAATGAGACATTTAAAGACAAACCACCACAACTTTGGGTGGATGTTATCAAGGGGAATCGATTACTAGCTAATGGAAGTGAGCTTACATACACTATCCCTCAAACAATTAATGGTAAAGTTGAAGTTCAGATTGAGGAACAAGATGTAGTATTGGAGAAAGAATTCTAGAGAAATTCTCTTATAATGTATGCCATAGGAAATGACTTATCCATAAATGTGGTAAAGAAATTTTGTCACATGGAATTTTGTCACCCTCTCAGATCTGTACTACAATGAAAAAGGATACTTCCTTATTTGTTTAAAAAACCGTGAGGACAAAGATGCGGTGCTCATGAGGGGGCCGTAAACTATTTTCAAAAAGCCAGTTTAACTTCATGAATGGACACCCACATTCACTTTGAAAGAAGATGTTCTGCGGGTTCTTTCGATTTGGGTTATCTTCCCACATGCCCCTCTACTATTAGGGAGATATGAGAATTGGTAAGATATCCAGTGGCATAAGAAAATCCGTGCTCAATGATGAATGTAATTTGAAGAAACTCTGTGTATCTTATACTAGAGTCCTCATTGAGGTGGATGTCATAAAGGAGCTAAAATAACATATCACAATAAGAGATGCTATGAGGGAGAAAATGATACAACATGTGGACTATGAATGGAAGCCACCTTACTTAAAAACGTGTAATAAGGTGGGGCATGAGTTAAAAAAACAAGAGGATATACCCAAAAGGAAAAAAAAGAAGAAAGTATGGGATCCAAAGAAAAAAATGCAACTGAGGCCAGCATTGAGGATCCAAAGGGAAAGAAGAGCACAAAAGAAGAAGGGGAACCTTGGACAACTGTAAAGAATACAAACAGAAATAGAGGTAAAGAACCCTTGGTAGAGAAGATTGATTGTAATAATGGGTTTGAAGCGCTCATATTTGGTGATTGCTCCACCAATTTTGAAAATAACATTCCATGATAAGCTGGAATATGAGAGGGCTGAATAAAAAAGCTAGATGTATGGAGGTTGGCGCCCACCTCAAAAAACTCCAAGTAAATTGTCTAGCTTTACTTGAGACTAGGGTTAGAAGTAACAATAATGCAGTTGTTAGGAAAACCTTAGGTTATGATTGGGATTTCTTAGATAACTATGATTATCACAATAATGGTAGTATTTGGCAGATTTGGAATCCTAGATGTTGGATTGTGAAGCAAATTTGATCAATTGATTCATATCAAAGTTTTTCAAATAAATGGAACCTTCTTGAAATTCTGGTATTCAGATCTCAAATGTCCTACAAGATGCCGAAACACTGATCTCTGAACAAAAAGATAATGACAAGATATAACAATTTAAACAGTGTAAAAAATAAAGGAACACACACAATTGTTAATGCAGTTCGGTGTACAACAAAAATAGCAATATGTAGGTGATATGACTGAAGAATTTTATTGACCCACAACAATAGCAATAACTTCTATAAGTCCTCATATATACATATCCCTAGTATCCTTTTCAAGTTTTCAAACTGCATTACATCTAGAGCTTTAGTAAAAATATCAGCAAGCTGATTTTCAGTGCTAACATGCTCAAGAGTTATGACTTTGTCTTTAACAAGCTCTCTAATGAAATGATGCATGATATCAATGTGCTTAGTTCTACTATGTTGAATAGGATTTTTGGAAATATTAATAGTGCTCAAGTTTTCACAAAATAATGTCATGACATCTTGTGTGATATTATATTCAGATAACATCTTTTTCATCCATACAAGTTGAGAACAACTACTTCCTGCAGCAATGTACTCAGCTTCAGCTGTAGATAGAGATACACAATTATGTTTCTTGCTGAACCTTGAAATTAAATTGTTTCCCATGAAGAAACATCCACCAAAGGTACTCTTCCTATCATCAGGACTACTATCCCAAACAACATATCATTATCCCATAAGCACTGAATTTGAATCATGAGAATACAACATTCCATACTCACATGTACCATTCACATACTTCAAAATTCTCTTTACTTGATTGATGTGAATCACTTTGGGTTCTGCTTGATATCTAACACAAACTCCAAAAACAAAAGCTATATCGGGTCTGCTTGCTGTAAGATATAAAAGACTACCAATCATGCTTCTATATAAACTTTGATCAACATTAGCTCCCTTTTCATCTTTGGATAGCTTCAAGTGTGTAGGAGCAGGAGTTCTCTTATGGATGACATTCTCCAATCTGAATTACTTCACAATATTCTTTGCGTATTTGCTTTGACAAAGAAAGATGAATTCTTTCATATGCTTGACTTGCAACCCCATAAAGAATGTTAATTCACCCACCAAACTCAGATTGTATCCGTTTGACATAATGTTGGACCATTTCATCCGACATCCCTCCAAAAACAATATCATCCACATAGTTTGAGCTATCATCAGTTTTCCACCTTTCTCTTTGACAAAGAGAGTTTTGTAAATTCCTCCCTTTTTATATCCATGGTTAATGAGAAACTAAATCAACCTCTCATACCAAGCTCTTGGAGAATGCTTTAAACCATACAATGCCTTCTTTAGTTTGAACACATGATACGGGAAAGAATGATCAACAAATCCTTTTGGATGTTAAACATATACTTCTTTATTTAGATAGACATTTAAGAAGGCACTCTTAACATCCATTTGGAACAGATTGAACTTTAAGAGATATGCCACTCCAAGTAGTACTCTAAAAGATTCCAAACGAGCTACAGGAGTAAATGTTTCATCAAAGTCCACTCCTTCAATTTCAGTTTACCCTTGAGCAACAAGCATGGCCTTGTTTCTGGTGACAATACCTTGTTCATCTGACTTGTTCTTATTCACCCATGTAGTACCAATAACATTTACTCCTTCAGGTCTTGGTATCAAGTACCAAACCTCATTTATCTTAAATTGACCAAGTTCATCTTTCATAACATGAATCCAGAACTCATATGTCAAGGCCTCTTTGACATTCTTTGGTTCAAATTTTGAAACAAAGAAATCATTTGACGCAACCTCTCTTGATCTGGTTTTTACTCCTTCATTCAGATTTCCTATTATAAACTCCTTAGTGTGGTCTTTCTGAACCCTAATAGAATGTACTTTGTCAGCTGTCACATATTCTTCAAGATCAATATTAGCATTGGAGTCTGCAATATCTTCAGAAACATCATCGTACATGGGAAAAGATGTCCAAACATCATCTATGACATCAACTTCTTTGTTTAAGTCATTAACTATAACATTTATAGACTCTATCATCACCTTAGTTCTGGAATGGAATACTTTACAGGCTCTAGTGTTTGTAGAGTATCTCAAAAAGATTTCTTCATCACTTTTAGGATCCATCTTCCTCCTCTGCTCATGATTTTCCAAAATGTAACAGTTACTTCCAAAGACATGGAAATATTTCACATTTGGCTTCCTTCCTTTCCATAATTCATAAAGAGTAAAAAATGTACCATATCTGATAGTCACTCTATTATAAATATAGCAGGCAATGTTCATGGCTTCGGCCCAAAAATGGTATGGAAGTTTCTTGGTATGAAGCATGACCCTGGCACATTCTTGAATAGTCTTATTCTTGCACTACACCACACCATTTTGTTGAGGAGTGATGAAAGAAGATAACTCATGACTAATTCCTCTGAGGTGTAAAATTCATCAAACTTGTTATTTTCAAATTCCTTCCCATGGTCATTTATAATTATGATAATACCACAATCCTTATCTCTTTGAATCCTTTGACATAATTCTTTGAAGACTTCAAACACTTCAGACTTCTCTTTGATGAACCTCACCCAGGTAAATCTTGAGAAGTCATCAACAACAACATAAGCATACCTCTTTCCTCCTAGACTTTCAACCTGCATAGGTCCCATCAAGTCCATATAAAGTAACTCCAACACTTTTGATGTGGTAAGATGTTAGAGCTTCTTATGTGACATCCTTGTTTGCTTCCCAATTTGACATTCACCATAAATTATTCATTCATCAATCTTTATCTTCCGAATACCTCTAACAACTTCCTTTGACAAGAATTTATTCATACCCTTAAAGTGCAAATGACCAAGCTTTTGATACCATGGATTAGCTTCATCTTCTTGTGATATTAAGAAAGAGGAGAAACAGTCTATTTCTTGAGAACTCCATAGATAGCAATTTTCTTTTGATCTAGACCCCTTCATGACAACTTCATTCTTCTCATTTGTAACTACGTATTCAGATTCGGTAAATTTAACTTTGATACCTTGGTCACATAGTTGACTAATACTTATTAGATTCACAGTTATCCCCTTAACAAATAACACATCATCAAGACTAGGTTGTCTTGTATAGTCCAGCCTTATAACACCCTTTATTTCACCTTTTGATCCATCTCCAAAGGTGACATAACTAGTGGAATGTGGCTTAATGTCCATCAACAATTTCTTGACACCAGTCATGTGCCTAGAACAACCACTATCAAAATACCAATCTTCTTTGGAAGAAACTCCGAGTGAGGTGTGAGCTATGAGTCCAGAAGTACCCTTTTTAGGGATCAACTTCTTCTTAGCATTAACAAAAACCTGTTCTCTTCTGTGTTGTGCAACATATTTGGGATAACCATATAACTTGTAGCAGAATGGTTTTATATGACCAAACCTTCCACAATAATGACATATCCATAGTTGAGTCTTGTTTCCTGAGTGATTTTTCTGATGCCTATGCTGATGATGGAATATTTGATTTAACATCTTCTTGTCCAATTGTTTCTTTGGACGAACAAACTTCACTTCAGCCTCTTTACCTTTGTTTTTCATAGCTTAATTATCATAGCCAATCCCTTTAACATTTCCAGCATTCTTTCTAGATTGAAGAATCTCATCTAGCACATCAGAACTATTGTTAAGCATTCTCACAAATTTATTCATATTGTCAAGTTGAGATTTGAGCAAAATAACTTCACCCTTCAAGCCATAGATGGTGGAGAGTTGCTCCATTTTTCTGCCTTCAGACCATAGATGATAGACAAGTGCTCCACTTTTTACAACTTTAGTTGAGCTATAGTTTTCTTTTGCTTTTCTCCTAGTTTACATACCTCTTCAAACGTCAGTTCCTCACAGTCTGAGTCTTCATCAGAGTCACAAATCCCAGTCAAAGCAGTGATATGTTTGGTCGTTTCTT